TTTACGCATGCAAAAATTATCAATCCAAAACTACTTGCAGTCAAACGAAATTTTCTGGCAAGATAACACTTTTCATTTGAAGCTTGACCAGTAGTGGCAGCAGCAATGTCAAGTATTCAGTTTTCATCCATGGCACATTTTTCTTTAAAGATATGGACTTTATCTGTGGCTTCCAAAAACTCCTTGGAAGAAATAATTTCTTCAATCATAGGGAAATTATTCACAGGATTTTCAGATTCCTTGTTCAACAACCAAGTAAATCCCACAGTATTTCCAAAGCTACCTAGCTTCTCCCTCAATCTTTCAATTGATTTTTCTGGTACTTGATGTTCAAGAGCTTTATATGGCTTTGGCGGATAAAGTTCTTCAGCAGATTGTACCGGCTCAGACTTAGGTTTAGCTGAGGCATTCCATAAACAAGCTTTATCTGTTACTGAGATATTGTAATGCCCAAAAAGTGCCAAGGCTGCAATGTGATGACATTTTATTCCTTTTGGACAATTACATCTTGCCGATTGAATATCGCCACACTTTTCCAACTCTACAAGAAAAAATCAGTTCTCGGTATAATAAGTAGATAATATAATCATACCTATTACTACATTATAGCTTTTATTTTTCATACTGGCTAATATTTCCCCTCTTATTATCATTAAATTAGAGTCAAACTGCATTTTCTTGACATGGTTGGATTCTAACGCATTTTCTCCCTTTTTTATTATCCTGTTGTCATTATCCAAGAAACCATTAATAGAACACAGTTTTAAAAAATGTTTTGAAGCCATTTTGCTCAAAATACCTGGAAATTAAAACACAATCTAATAATAACAAAACAAAAATCATAACCTTCAAACTTTTTCAAGCACAATTATTGCATAAAACTGACTAACCTGCCCAATAACTTATGCACTTCACTTAACCAATACGTTGCTTTAATGAAATATCCACACTATAATGATTATTTTGTTATAGAAGCCCAAAAAATATAAAACGAAAAAATTCTTATGGCAATTTACCGTTGCAAACGAATTAGTTTGGAGTCAATTTTGGCTCCGCCCATAACTGTGACGTCACGACTTAGGCTGTCTATTACGGCGTATTGATTATTTAAATTAAATTATGTTAAACGTCCTATTTGGCAGTGATGTGGCTTATTTTGACTGACTGAGCGGTAATGGGTCATGCTTTAACTGGTCGGACATACTTTTTGGGCAGCAAAATCACACTTCTCCACATATATTTGTACTATGTACAGAGAAAGCGGGAAGTCCTCTCGTATTAATAACACTAACCTTTATCCCCCGTCGTCAGTAACCACTCACTCTACCCTTTAGCCCATATTTCAACAATATTCGCTTTTCAAAGCCTTTTATTACTTCACAAATCCTTGCAATGATCAACGCAAAAAATGTTCTGATTGTGTACAAACAGAAGAACATCAAAACGTTGGAACATCTGAACTGCACTATCGTAAGCACGGAAATGTTTCGAAGTGTCGTGATATCCAATCGCATATTTTCATACTTGAACCACCTCGAAAGCCTAGGGCGTAAAAGCTCATGGGTACCGTGAGGCTATAGGGGGATACTGGGGAAAGGAGGAACGCCACACGAACTCTAGCGAGGGAACACGTGTGTATGCAACATGCACTCATTCTGGCCCCACCTCATGGATCCGCCGGGTTCGACAGTTTTCCACCTACGGACAATCATAACATCCATAGTCAAGAGAGAAAATCTTCTGAGACGGGAGTCGAACCCGCGCAGCTCACAACGACTGATTGGGAGACCCAAAACATCTACCACTACACTACCGCTGTCTGAAATAAATAGAAATGTCCCTGAAAAGATATTTGGAAAATGACAATGTTTGAGGCCTAAGTTTACTAGAATGGTAAGTGATAATGCTAAAATAAAATCGCATAATAAACTATACCTCCGTTATCAAGTTTCAAGAAAATTCATCACATTAAGAATTGAAGCTTTTAGTATTCATCTGACCGAGAGCGTTCAGACGCTGGTCCGTCTGCCACACATAAATATAGCGCCCTTTGTGGTTAACACTAATATTTGACTAAGAGTCCTCTTTGGGATAGTGGGTGAATGTTTTTCTATCCAATGAGTTTTAGTGTTTATTAAAGTATAATTGGAATAATAATATTTCAGTTATCATCTCGAAATGCTGTGTTACGTGTTTAACAGGAACTTCAACGTGCGCCAGTTATCATTTATAGATGGTGATACAAATGTTAATAAACGCCAACAGGCCATTACAAGACGTGATGAGCTTAACTATCCCTCGTTAGTTCTAAATGAAAACTCTAGATTATGCATCAACTGCAACCGGTCAATAATTGCTGAAATTAATTCAATTGAGTGAGATCCAAACTGTATGAGATTGTATATCCTTACTTAAACAGCGTCTCAGACTTGTATGACTTGTGATGCGCAAAATAACATTCACCGTTTAACCGAATCAAGCAGAATTTTCAAAATGCGCAAGTACTGTATAAAAGTAGATGTACTTTGTCCATTGTCCTGGTGAAAAGTAGGATATACGACTTTTAAAAATTCACCTGGCCTTGACCATAACCTTCAAGGATACTGTCAAGGCCAATCTCTGATCACTATTGAGCAGTCTGGAAGAAATCCTAGCAACACTACGTTTTGCTTCTTCTCTAATAATATTAAGACTTACGTTGTCCTCCCCTACTTGGGGGTGATTTGAGTTTCGTAGGGAGTAAAGGAGGATCCCAACCACCTGGGCACCATTGGGACTTTTGATCATCATGTAGAAAGCTACTTTTATGCGAAATTTCAACAAATTTAGCCGAAAGCCCCATTTTCCATAAGACAACTGCCTGGTTCTTTGCATATATAATTTTCAGGTTGAATAAAAAAAGCGTAACTAATTTTTAGCTTTGCATACATTTTAAGTAAGTGGTGATCAGAAACCAATGGAAATATCACCAACACAGATTATTAGCTCACAAATCCTCACCATGCACTGCTGTTTCCTTCCAGCTATAGTAAACAACTTACAGCTCAGACCTCCAATAATGCCATCTTTGAAGCAGATGTTACATCACATCAGAGCCAAACATTGATAGCTGAAGCATCGTTTAGGCAACACGCACAGCTACGGATCGAGTACACAACAACAGTACAACAGCTAGTGTGTCCCGTGCCAAAATCACAGCCTTTTTTACTATTCTGATCACTTAGCAGTAATTTTAATTTCTCTGTATTGATTATAGCTTACCAATTCCTAGGCCAAACCCTTTTTTAATGATTTGCTTTCGACAAATTTCAAAGCTTATTAATTGTATAATTTCACACGTATTATATCTTTCTTTCTCAGCAACTCAGTATTGTGTTGAAATCTTTTGGACACTAATGTTATAGTATTATTAACGACTATCTCAGAAATTTCCTCATAAAATATTGTTGGTCTCTCGTAGAGAGTTGGTTCTGCCCATTGGCAACCAACGTGCCACCTTGTGATTTCTACTCGTACTAGTATATGAATATTTGCTTTCCTATCAAGATACCTTCTGTATAAAATGTACGTGTGCAGACGGGTCCAGCGCCATTTTGTTTTCTTTCCATTGTGGTTTTGGTTGTGGGTGGGCGTTGTTTCGTTAACTTCGAGATTCTGGGATATTAACGCCCCAAGCACCAGTTTATGGAGAAGTACCCTTCTAATTGGGTATTTTATACATATTAATATGTTGATTTTGTTTGGCATTTTTCGTATTCAAATATAGGGTATTGCCTACTTGTTACCTTTTGTACTTACTACAGTACGTTGATCATGATTTTGATTGTTGAGCTAACATGACTCTATTTTAGAAAAAGGTATACATTTCTGAGGTTATGCCACTTTATACATTTTTATCTTTTCTTACCTTTGCTTTACTTTTCTTGAGAAAGAGAATGTACATGGATTTTTTCTGAGTGTTTTAAATGTAGTTTTGTCTCATACAGAGAATAGAGAGTAGTTTTTTAAGCAGTCTTTCTCTCTCTCTAGGGTTTTTTATACCGTAAATTTTGGAAACGAGGGAAGCAGCCCCTACCTGGTGACGTCGCACGTGCTCACTTCTGGCCACTGGTTTTTGACCCGAGCTTTTGTGAGCTGTGGACATCTCAGCTGCGCCTAGAGCCGTAACTGGAAGAAAAACCACTGTGCAGATAAGTTTAGGTTTAGGCGTTAACATATTTGCAAAGCCTTCGTACGTGTGGCATACGTGATGCAGGGTTAATTATCACGGTCTAATAATTGTATTGTCAGGTAGTTATGAATAATATCCTTTCTTTTAACTTGCACTCCAGTGGTGAAGCATATGCATGCCGCTTGTTTTGATAATATATTGCGATTCTTTTTTAAATATCTTGTTTTATTTGGCTCTTTGTATACAATTAATTAGGTTTTATCATTACTGTGAGATTCTTTTCTCTTGTGCGGGTGGTCAGGCAAAACAAGTTCCAATTAACACCTCGGGGATTTATGGCTTAATCCGTCTTGAGCCACTGGCGCTCTCAACCCCCCTACTCTTCGCTTTATTGAGCTAGGGCCTAAATTTGCACGCCACTAGACAGCTGTTTTGCATTGACTGACCATAGAGTTCATTTTTTAGTGTTTTATTAATTCATTAATTACTTAAACAAAAATCGAAAGAGGGATCACACCACCATTTCTTCTTGTTTATAAAAAAAGGAGTGCAAGTGGTTAAGTTGGCATCTTGTAGAAAAACCTACATGTCACAAAAAACATATATAATGTAAAAAACCGACAATGTCACATTTCAAGATACGTAATACCCCTGCTGGACATCTACTTTCACAAATATTACTAATACATCCAATTAAATTAATTTGGGATTCCACAAAACTAGGTCAGAAAAATGTGCCAAATTCTTCTCAGATAACGTTGTTGCTGTATATCTCTTTCCACTTTTAACCCGTATGACAGAAAATATCTGAAAGTGTCATCTCATTGTCAGTCAGTGACGCGTGGAATTGTTCAAATATCCAAAGCTTTCGACGTAATGTTTCGGGCTATTCTCGACAGGTTTTTTTTAGTTTTTTTTTCATATAGCTCGGCCACCATATAACATTATGTTAATATGCATTAAACTAGGTATACAGTGTATATTTATTATTTATATAGAACTACACAAGAATATGACGGTACTGGGGAGGAAATCACGTACCAAGAATAGCGACTATTGTCAAACATTTTTTCTGTTTTTTCAGATACGCCGACCCCTAAGCAATATTTGTTACTATGCGTTAATGAAATACTTTTAATTTAGGTATACAGTATATATTTATTATGTATATAGAACTACAAAACAATATAACGATACGGGGAACGAAATCACGCATCAGGAATAGCTTCTAAACCCTGAAAAAAAAAACTATGTCACTGCAAAGAAAACCAGGAGATTAATACATAACTAGTGAGGTGAGATCTGTGCTACCCCCGAATACTCCATAATTCAGCATAAACTCAGTGTATGGTAAGCCACTGCACACAAGTAGAGCACATTACCATGTAAGAGGTCGGTTTTATCAATCGCTTTATCCTACTTGGGATCTCTCTGACAACACCTCACCAATTACGTTAATTTTTTTCACAGATGTCACAATGATATAATAATATAAAACTAATATGGTAAGCCATTGCACACAAGTAGAGCACATTACCATGTAGGAGGTCGGTTTTATCAATCGCTTTATCCCACTTGGGATCCCTCTGACAAAACCTCACCAATTACGTTATTTTTTTCAGAGATGTCATAATGATATAATAATATAAAACTAATATGAAAATTAGAAATGTCCTATGCTGTTGATAAAAAAACCCAGTTTGTGTTTGTACGAGGTCTGTAAATTAAGTGATGAGACTGATTTTTTCTATTTTTTTTTAATCAAATATAATTACAATTTTATATTCTCATCCTCAAAATAACTTCCGTCGGACGCCACACAACGTTGGAGACGGTTCTTCCACTACTCATAGCAGTGCTGGAACTCCGTTACTGGAATAGCCTTCAGTTGATGGCTTACAGCCATATAAATGTTTTCAACTGTCCCAAAATAAGCTCCCTCGAGGTGATTTTTCAACTTCGGGAAGAGAAAAAAGTCTCAAGTCAGGCAAATGAGGAGATTGAGGAGCCACATGAATGTTTTCACTGGCCAAAAACTCGTTATTCACATTCCTGTGCGACAAGGAGCATTATCGTAATGCAACACCCAGTTGTTCTTGATACGATGAACGGTGGTGTGAGTCAAATTTAAATCTTCTCCGATCATTCTGATGATCTGAACGCATAAGATCCCGGATTCTGTAGATATCTTCATAGATTCTTGAAGATAAAAGCCTTCCGCTTCGTGGTTCTTCTTCAGCTCCACTCTCTCCCTTCTGAAAATGCCTTAAACCCCCTCAAACTTGTACTGAAGGCGAACCACATGTTCTCCAGTCATCCCTCCAAGCCTGGCGCCTCCAGTGTTGCCGGATCGAACGCTACGTTGCCAGTCTCATTACTTAATTTACAGACCTCGTAAGGCCCGATTTTACTATTCACCCGCGGCAATCAAAGTTTGCCACTATGTCACAAATTCGGCCAATAAGAACACGTTTTTGATTTAATGGATTTAACGAATATGGTTGACTTCCTGTAAAATATCATACAAACTAAAGAAAAATTATTCGATTTGTGTAAGATGGGCCCCTAATTCTCATATTAAATCAAGAAATACTCACCTGGTTTAGCTACAAAAACATATTTTACTCATTTGCGTCCAGGCACAAATTCCAGCAATCGAAAAGAAATGTTTGCATTATAGTCGCAAATTCGACGATTCAAAAATAACATTTGGGTTCTACCCGAAACATGGGCCAAATATGATATAATAGATAACGTGTCCATTGCGGTTAGCTACAAAAATCTATTTTTCCTCTTTGTAGGTTAGTAACAGCAGTCAAACTAGATCATTGATTTTTTTCCTTGCAGTACAAAATTCTGCTTAATAAACATAAATAAAATTATGGTATGCTTATTTAACAAACATCGAGTAAATACTCAATTTACTTGATTACCGTGTGAAAAAATATGTTTCTTTTTAATTAGTTTTATGGTCAACACGTGTTTAGCGCTAATTTTCCTAGCTTACTATAGACGTGTAATTAGATGATATAATTTTGTGTTTTTTATATGATTAGTGAGGATATTCTATTGTATTTTCATTTTAATCCAGTTGGAGTTAGTGTATTTGATTTAGCTGCAATACAAATACATAGCAAATTTGAAAAAATCTATTATTCGACAAAATAACCGAAGACCAAAAAAGTTTTTGCATTTCTGGCATCAATATAGCCCTCTCTATCATATTGTCCTAGCCGTGTTCGGAAGGCAAGTCCGGAAGCCCCCGTTTTTGACCAATATTTTTTCAAATTTGCTATTTATAAAGAAAGGTGGGTCAAAAACGGGGGGCTCCGGACATGGTTTGGGGATAAATTTTCGGCACTGCTACCTTCTTAACACTTCGATCAGAACGTTTTTGATCGGAACATTAGCCGCATGATTTTTAGAGACCTCATAGGGACTCATGTTGACACTATAGTTTTGCAAAAAATCGGAGGACTACGGGGTGTTTCTTCGCATACAAGGGTTGAGTCCTCAAAACAGAAAAACATTCGCAGAACCCAAACGAAGTATTGTGCTACTAAAAGCTCATATATATTGTATAGACCGCATAAGAATACACTTCTACGGCATAGTTTTGCAAAAAATCAAGAGACTACGGGGTGATTTTGTTCAATACGGCTTGACTGCTCAAAACAGAAAAAAATTCTCAAAACTCAAACGAAGAATTGTGCCGCCAACAAACTCATATACGTTGAAGAGACTTCATAGAAGTACATCTCTACGGCATTGTTGGTAAAAAATCGGGGGTATACAGGGTGATTCTGTTCATATAAGGCTTAACTGCTTAAAACAAAAAAATCGCAGAATCCAAACCAAGAATTGTAGCACCAATAAATTCATATATGTTGTAGAGACCTCATAGAAATATATCTTTAAGGCATAGTTTTGCGAAAAATTAGGGGACTACAGGGTGATTCTGTGCAAATAAGGCGGAAAATCCAAACAAAGAACTGTGCCACCAACAAACTCATATATGAACCTAGCAACATAGTTTTGAAGACTGAGAAGAAGAGAAGTAAATCGAGCAATGAGAGTACAGACAAGAGTCAGGTTTTGCCTACAAAATAACGGGCAACATTTTGAACATCTGCTATTATTATTGTTATTACCATCAATCAAATTTTTATTTTGTGTTCAGGTTTTACCATACCTTTTTATTTCCTTATAATTTCCATCGAACAACAAATTAATGGCCAACTAAGGAAAAACATCACAGAATTTAGAAATGAGAGACCATTTAAATGTATACAGGGCATCTGCGAAAGGTTGGGAAATCCCGAAACTGGAGATATTACAGACCAAAATATGTGAATTGACCTAAACATACCTTAGTCCAAAAGCTGATAGTTTGCGAGATACAGGGAGTCAAAGTTACAATTTTATTTTCGATTTTTCCTTATTGCTTGAGAAGTATTTCAGATTTTGGCATATAACTCGGTATAGGGAGTTTTCTAATATGAGAAACCAGAATCTGTTATTTTTTAATGCCAAACTTCTAGAAGGCACCACTTACAGCACTATTTCGGTAAATAACTTATCATAACTTTTTTGTGCTACCTTGTATACAACAACTGACCAAAAATCTTATTTTCTCGTCTTCCCACAACAAAAAAGGTTTACTTGTTAGAAGTGTATCTAAAGCCAGTAGTTTTCGAGATATTTGTTTTTAAAAGTTCCAGTGCATTATTTGTACTATGATGATAAAACATTTTTATAACATAATAATCAAGTTGCTTTTCATAATATCTGAGTAGCGTTGCTATGGTTTTTAACAGTAACAAATGAGGATGGCAACAAAACTAATAAGCGGAAATAATAACTACAAAAATTGTTCAAAATGAGCACCACCTTCCCTAACACACTCTCGAGCTCGACGAACTAATCCTTGCTGCACTCTATGGCTATGGTGGAAAATCCTTTGTCGAAGATCATCTACAGTTTCCTCTGGCGTATTGTAAACGCGTCGTTTTAAATCACCCTAGAAGAAGAAATCCATAGGATTTAAATCTTGTGATCTAGCCGGCCACGATACAGGTCCTGATCGGCCTATCCACTAGTCTGGATAAACTCTATTTAGGTGCTCTCTAACTAATATACTAAAATGAGGTGGAGCGCATTCGTGCATAAACCACATATTCATGCGTGTTTGTAATGGAAGATCTTCTACCAGAGTGGGTAATTGTTCTTCAAGAAATTGTAAATACCTCTGGACATTTAGTCTAGGTGATAACTCATCGGGTTCTATTAAATATTGTCCAATTATTCCTGCCCATAAATTAATTTAAAAGTGTACTTGGTGTCGGGTTTGTATTATTGCATGAGGATTTTCATGTGCATAAATCTGAAGATTATGCGAGTTAATGGGCCCATCCCTTCCAAATCCTGCTTCGTCCGAAAATGATATTAACGAAGTAAGACCATTGTCGTGGTTAAACTTCCTTAGAAGCCATGTACAAAATTCTACCCTTGCGGGTTCATCATCCGCGCTTAAACCATGTACGTTTTGCACGAAGTATGGAAGGAGCAGTTCCTCTTGAAAAATGGTATTTACTATACATTTGGAAACTTGAAATTCTGGAGCTACATTCCTAACCCCCAACTGTAGGATTATCTAAAACATTTTCAACTTCAGCTGTACGTACAGTTCTGGGAGCTCCACTATGTCGGTCTATATTTTGAGCAAAACTACCTAGAATCCAAATGGTTTTTACTACATAAGGCTATATATAATCATTTCTTACCAGTTTGTCGTAACCGCTGATAGATTTATTGGAAAGTCTTTGAATTAGGCAGGTATCTATTAGGGAATCTGTCAGCGTACAATCTTCGTGCCTTTAAAGCATTACACCTTGGGAATCCGTACATTAAATTAATGCATATCAGAATTTTCATCAAACGTATACTCCATCATGTTTAACAACTTATTGCCAACTTAAAATTATTCATGAAGTTTAAAGCAATATTATGACAAACATTAGAAACCATAGCAACGCTACTCAGATATTATCCAAAGCAACTTGATTATTATGTTACAAAAATGTTTTATCATCATGGTACAAATAATGCATTTGAACTTTTAAAAACAAATATCTCGAAAACTATTAGCTTTAGACACTTCTAACAAGTAAACCTTTTTTGTTGTGATAATTCAAGAAAATAAGATTTTTCGGTCAGTTGTTGTATACAGATAAAAAAGTTATTATAAGTTATTTACCGAAACAGTGCAGTAAGTTTCGCCCTTTAGAAGTTTAGCCATAAAAAATAACGGATTCTGATACTAGAAAACCTTCCTATACCGAGTTTTATGCCAAAATCTGAAATATTTCTCAAGCAATAAGGAAAAATAGAAAATAAAATTTGACACAAACTTTGACACCTGTAACTCGCAAACTATGAATTAAGCTATGTTTAGGTCAATTCACATATTTTGGTCTGTAGTATCTCCAGTTTCCCAACCTTTCGCAGTATAATTCCAATATAGCGTCCATATGAAAATACAAAGATGGTGGTGGATTGACTACGTCATCTTGTATAGGAGAATAAGTAGCAATGAAAACGTGCAATTTATTTTGAAATCCCATCTCAAATAAAGTCAGGAAAAAATAAAACGATTTTTGGGATAAATCTGGTATTCGAAACAAATGACTATTATCTGATAATTTCAAGGCCTACCTAGGAAATTCTACTTTTTTGAAATAAATGAGGTTAGTTAATGTCAATATATGACGTATTGAACATTTTTTGATTAGAATTAAAAACTCTATTCATATGCGCGAAAATCCAATATGACGTCCGTAAAAAAAATAAAGTTGATGGTGGGCATATTTCTGAAATCCCACTACAAATGAAGTCAGGACAAAAATTTTAATTATTTTCGAAAAAAACGCCTTCCGCCTGAAGTACTATGAATTTCGAAACTTTCTAAGCGGCATTTTGTTGAATACATATACTAAGTGACATATAAATCCGAACACCCAGTTTAAATGGTTTTATTTTAATAAAATTTTGTATAAGTACTTAATGAAGCATAATAAGTAAATGATAAAAATTTCAAAATGATTGCACTGCTTTAAAGCCCTTTGACCTTTAATAATGTGTGGATGCACCCTGATGTGCTACGCATTCTCCAACGCGCCTAGGCATGCTTCTGATCAGGTGGTCAATGTCCTCCTGTGGTATCTCATTCCAGGCAACCACCAACTCCTCTCGAAGTGCTTCTAGAGTCTGAGGAGGACGTTGCAAATTGAGCAATCTCCTACCCATCATATCCCACACGTGCTCAATTGGGGATAAGTCGGGAGATCTTGGTGGCCATGGTAACAATGTGACATCATTACGTTGAAAGAAGTCTATTGTGACTCTTGCAACATGTGGTCGGGCATTATCTTGTTGGAAAGTTGGATCTGCCAGGGTGTCAAGATAGGGTAAAAGATGGGGTTCTAGAACTTCGTGGATATAACGCTGCACGTTCATGTTACCTCTGATGAAGATTAAAGGTGACCTGGAACCATAAGCTATAGCACCCCAAACCATAACTCCAACAGTGTGATGAACATGTCTTTCAACAAAAAACTGTGGGTTCCTCCTTTCACCACGTCGCCTTCTAACCCTGGCACGACCATCGTGCATGCCTAAACAAAATAGAGACTCGTCACTAAAGACAATACTGTTCCATTCCTGATCCCAGAGTGACCGTTGTCTGCACCACTCAAGGCGATTACGTCGGTGTTCTCGAGTTAAAGGGAGGACCCAGTGTGGCCGGTATGAAAACAAGCCAAAACTTCTCATTCGTCGGTAAACACTTCGCATGCCAATAGGTCTTCCGTGTTCTGCAAACCATTCATTTGAAATGGACCTGGTAGTGGAGAAATGGTCCCTTAAGGCCAATAATCTTAGGCGAATATCTTCACGGTCTGTTGTTCTACGGCGGCGTCCAGTGCCCCTTGCTCTTTGCGTACGGCCTTCTCGAAGCCATGTCTGACAACACCTAACCACAGTGTCTACACTTCTTTGCACTCTAACTG